AACTTGCTGACAGACCAAACATCTCCTTACGAAATTGGTAACATCTTTCTTCATACCCCTCCACCAGAAAGACCCTTTCAGGTCGTGTTACATCTTGGTACTGCCGGGGTGAGCTAAATAAGGCGTGGTGTGTGCCTCTGTCAAGATCTCTTTTTGCAAAGCCTCGATCTTCGGCACTACAATCCTGTCTCGGAACTCTAAAGCACCATCTGCGCCTCGAGAAAAACCTTCTACTCCTCCGGCGTGAAGCTTGGCCTCAATAGCACGAATAAACTGATCATGAGCCTGCTCCTGCCGGATTCTGTCTCTCAACGTGGGCTGAATTTGCATCGAGCTAACACTCCCTATAATCACTACAGGAAGCGACTCGACGACCTGAATTTGCATCCGGGCAAAGTCTTGAATAAGATAACGCTGCTGGGTAATAGAACAAGATAATTCGCCTTTTACCTTTCGGCTCAAGGCATCAGCTACAACATTTTCTTTCCCCGGATGATACTGAATCGTGCAGTCATAATCTTTAACAAGCTCCAACCAACGTCGCTGACGCATGTTGAGCTCCTTTTACGTGAAAATATACTACAGACTCTTGTGATCGGTGTAAATTTTGCATCGACCACCATAAAGATAATGCCGCCATATCTTAAGTGCATGTACCACTGCAGCTATCTCCAGGTCGTGAGTAGGATAATTCTGCTCATGAGGCTTCAACTGACGTGAAGCATATGCTACAACCTGGCCGTCCTGCATAAGTACACACCCCAAACCCCACTTCGAAGCATCACTATAGATGGTGAAACTCCGAGAAGGATCGGGAATAGTCAACACCGATGCCGTCATAAGCCTTCTTTTAAGCTCCTGAAAACTCGACTCACAACGGTCTGTCCACTCAAACGTCACAGACTTCCTCGTCAACTGGGACAAAGGGAGGGCAATCTTCGAGAACCCCTCAATAAATCTGCGATAATAACCGGCAAGGCCGAGGAAACTACAAACCTCGGACATATTCTTTGGTGCTGACCAGTTCTGAACTGCAGCAATTTTGGAAGGATCTACTTCAATACCTGCTTGAGTAATAATGTGGCCAAGAAAAGCCACTCGCTGAAGCCAAAATTCGCATTTAGAGAACCTTGCATGTAATTTTTCACGTCTAAGGGTCTCAAGAACGGCCCTCAGATGTTCTTCATGCTCCTTCTGGCTTTTGTAATAGATAAGAATATCATCGATGAATACAATAATGCACTGATCGAGAAAAGGATGAAATACACGGTTCATCAAGTCCATGAATACTGCCGGGGCATTACTGAGGCCAAACGGCATAACCACAAACTCGAAGTGACCATAAATCGATCTTGGAAAATACACAGACACCCCTCAACTGATCAAATAAATCGTCGATCCTGGGAAGCGAATATTTATTCTTAACCGTCAATCGGTTAAGATCCCGGTAGTCGATACACATACGCATGGATCCGTCCTTCTTCTTGACAAAGAGAACGGGTGCTCCCCAAGGAGAGACGCTCGGTCGAATAAAACCGAGATTCAGCAACTCTTGAATTTGGGTCTTTAATTCCTGCAATTCCTTAGGTGCCATTCGGTATGGTTCCTTAGAAACGGGTCCGGCTCCAAGGATAAGATCGATAGAAAATTCCACCTGTCGACTAGGTGGACCGCCTGGAAGCTGATCTGGAAACACGTCCACAAACTCACGAACAATGGGAATGTCATGAGGTGACCGTGCCTTTGGCTCATCTCCAACGAGGCTCACAAGGTAACCCTGGCAATCACCCCGTCGAAGAATCCTCCTGGCTTTCGCCATAGAAATAATATGGGGCAGAGTACGAGTCCTGGAGCCGAAATAAGTGATCTGATCATCTCCCAGAAGATAAAGAGTAATCTCCCGGTCATGACATCGGATATCTGCGTGAAAACATGTTAGCAAATCCATACCGAGTATGAGGTCAAAATCCCTCATCTCGATAACATAAGCATCAGAAGTCAAAATACGGCCGCCGATGGAAAGGCTGAGATCGGTGGCTCTGGCGTCAGTGACTATCTTTCGTCCCGAGGCTAAACTCACCTCGAGAGGATCGACAGTGGTAAGAGAATGAACTCCTATAGCTTCGAGACATCGGCGTGATATAAAAGAATGGGTCGCTCCGGTGTCAAATAAGGCATAAACAGGCACATCATTAAAAACAATCATCCCAGACATAGTACCTGGGTGCTGGTCGGCCTCTCTCTGGTCAACTGCAAAGACGCAGGCCTGCTGTCTGCCGCGTTGCTGCTGTTGGGGTCGTGGTGGTTGCTGCCTGGGTTGCTGCTGTTGAGGTTGCTGAGGTGGCTGTTGTTGTTGTGGTTGTTGTTGCAGTCGTTCTGGGCAATTGGGGCTGATATGACCGGGCTGGCGACAAAAGAAACAGATGTTCTGGCCCATAAGGCACTCTCCGCTGTGGCGTCGTCCACAAGTAACACAAGGTGGGGTCTGTTTTTGTCTGGGGCGGTTCTTGCGATCATCCTAAGGTCCTCTCCACTTCCTCTTGTTTTTCTTCTTTGGTTGTTGGGCGGCTAGAGGCTGGACAGATGGTTGGGCAATCGGCTTGGCTGGAATCGAATTAGCTTCTCGTCGGATACTGGCATCCACTTCTTGAGCAATGGCGACTGTGCGTGCGTAGGTCTGAACGCCATGACCTACGATGTTGTGGCGGACTGCTGGGAGAAGTCTGTCGATAAAACGAAGGGCTCTCTTCACCTCTGTACTCACAAGATCGGGTACAAAAGCTCCGAGACGGGTAAACTCTCTCTCGTAGTCGTCAACAGAACGAGTACCCTTCCTGAGTGCCAGAAACTGGCGCTCCATATCTGCTCGGTAGTACGAAGGATAGTACTTCCCATGGATCAACTCCTTGAATTGGTCCCACGTATAGCCTTATTCTTCGTCGGGACGCATACTCCAATAGGCATTCCACCAGAGTCGAGCATCACCGGTCAGCTGAATTTGTGTGCATAACATACGATAACGATCAAGACAGTCCATGACGTCGAAAATCATTTCAAGGCCCTGAAGCCATTCGTCCACTATACAGGGATCTCCTTGGCCGGAAAACATTTCTGGATGGTAGTCGCGAAAGTGTGCGACTACTGTGGCATGAGGGAGGTCCTGATGACCTGGTTCTCTACGAGGCGGCATCTGAGTTTTAAAAAGATTAACGTAATCAGACGCAAACATGATAGAATACTTTTATTGATTATTAATGCGCACAAATCTCTTGACGAGTTGCTAATATTAACCTGAGAAAACTAAAGTTGAAATATCGAATAACTGGGACAATCGACTTATACTTTTTAAAAATACTTGATCACTAACTCGAGCATCTTATTGGTTGCTAGGGTTAAATATCTGATACCCTCTACTGAGCATACACTGAAGCATTTACTTATATATATATATATAATGTAATTCAGCACTTACTCGTAGTCGGCAAGGCGTGAGCATAGCGTGGTCGGTTTTTCTGAATTTTTCTGACTTAATAAAGTATTCAGACACACATAAACGTGCCCTGATACCATTTGTAACACCCCGCTAGCTTATTAAAAATTAGAGTCAAATTTTCGCAATTTCTTTTCTAAAAATAAGTATTTAGTTGCGAAATCATGATTCAAGGTGTTACTAAGAAACATTTTTTTTTATCTAAAATCCGTTATTTTTCCTGAATTAAAAGTATTAAGAAAAACGGATTATCTTAATCAAATAAGCATGTAAAACTGTATAAGATCTGACTAACGAAATTAGACTATTTACATGCGAGTTCGTAAATCTGAAAATGTCAGCGGAAGTTCAAAACGTGGCAAAATATATATATATACATGTCCAAAAGTCTATATAAACAATCTACAACCACCAGCTCTATTCACTCCTCCGGACCGACCCTGCAACCTGAAAAAGGATAATATAGTGGGGCGTGAGCACTAAAGGCCATTGTACTCCGCAAACACTCATACTTAAGTAAAACATAATAATAATTGCAATATCATGATCTATAGTATATATAACTGAACTGTCATGTCATGTACTGTAACTGCGATCAACCGTATCTGCTACGGGATGGAATGTTGTATCTGGCGGCTATAATATACTGCGCCGCGCCTATGTGCACACTCTAGTGGGCAGATTACGCCACTAGAACTCAGATGGTCTTACTTTGTCTAGCCTCACTGAGCAGGAACTGAATATATATACCTTGAACATGATAACTGTAATTATACTCAATGTAATACTTAGTCTGAGTTCCCACCTGAACTGCTATTCTGAAAATGTAAGTGCTGCTGCTGATCAATCTGAAAAATATATATAAATAAACAAATACTAAGTACTATGCTCAGACTGACTGAAAATAGCTGCTAAGATACTCGGCTCGATCTAAACATTTAACTGGTATTATCTTGGGGTTTAACTTGACCGACAAGAAAAACTGGACTAAACTGATACCGGTGTACTGAACTGAATGGACTGAAAAATTAACTGAAATATTGTACTGAACTCGGACCGGATCAATAAATACTGAACTGTTCAAAATTCTGGTCTGAACCGGCCGGTTCATCTTCTGGCCGGACAGCCGGCTTGCTGCGGTCGGGCGGTTGGCTACTGGCTGACCACCGGCTCGGTTACGCGCGCGCTGGGCGCGGCCTGGGCGC